AAGCTGTCTTTGGATTTTATTCCGGATGTACTTTGGAAAATTTTATATCTGATGTTCTCCACAGGAAACTGATCATTTAAAATTATGTTGGTATTTTTCTTCCTATAAACTGAAAGACAGCTAAGGAAATATCACAGTAAATTAGACATGTGAAGGGAGAAGACTAAAGAAGAGAAGATTGAGCCTTAACAGATCCATCTTAGAGTAATAGCTGGGGACAAAAGTAATAAAAACACACAAACGGTCATATCCAAAGGTTATCCAGCTCAGTATCCTGTCCCTAGCAGTGGCAAATGCTTCAGAGAAAGAGTTAATGAAACAAAGTAGAAAGAATTCATCCCCTAACAGACTTTCCCAGTCACCATGAGTAGGTTGCACCTCTCTCTGTATATCCTCTAATGGAGCTATCCTCCATAAATGTCTAATACTTTTTTGAACCTGGTTATACTTTAGGCCTCCATAACATTCTTTGGCAAAGAAGAGACTGAATGGATCACAAATTAAATACACTTGTGGTGGCTGGTTTATGGGCCTCAGCATGGAAATGACACAAAACTCTAAGGGCCTGTCTACATGGGAAAGTAGGCCAAAACAGCTATTGTAGAATAGTTGTTCTGCACCACTACCCTCTGTGGACATACTCATTCCTCACTAATGGTACTTTTGTGTACTTTAACTTAGTGCACTTAGTGAAGACCACTCCAAGCCACAAAAGATCAATTGGCAGGAAATAAGGTGGTCTACTCTGGGTGCTAGCATGAAATAGCTATTAAGTGTAAATTCAGGTCTTGGCTTATTTCACAATAGCTTGCTTACATAAGCAAAACCTTACTGACTATAACAACTATCAGATTCAGACCCTAATTAAATTTTCTTGAGTAAGTTCACACATACACACAATTAACTTCACTTGGCTATCATCCTTCAATCTTTTTAAAACACATATGCACACTTTATTAGTAGAAATTTCATGAAACTCACATATGTAAATTGTACTTAAGAGTTAAAAGGAACCCTCAACATCCCCAAGCAATAATGAAGAGCAGGCTCTCTCTCCTAATTTATTTTCTTTGGAGGGTTGTAATTATAATTATAACTTATTTAGGCAACCAAAAAATCTCAAGGGTTTTACTACTAACTTACCTGTACTCTCCAATATAGAAAGCGATTATTTCTCAGCACAGATAGCAGTGCCCACAGTTGTACTAGACCAGGGGTTTTCAAACCTTCTTTAGTCTAAGTGCCCCTGGTGGCTGAACACCAAGTGGTGGGGGGTTAAGTCGCAGCTGAATGCTGATCAGGGGAGGGGAGTTAGCTGGCAGCCAAACGCTGAGTGGGAGTGGGGGGGGTTAGCACACAGCCGAACACCAGGCAGGGGTGGCGCATGGGTGGACATGGAGCAGGGTGGTGGGGACAGTGCCTGGGTGGGCGGGGATGGAGCACTGCTGCCTCCCAGGAGCAGGGCAAGGGCAAGGTAGGGTAGGGTTGGGAAGCTCACTGGGGTGGGGTGAAGGCAGCAGCTCCCCTCTGCGGGGCAGGGAAGCTCACTGGTCTGATGTGTGGTGGTGGCAGCCACTGTGTGCAAGCTTCCCTGCCCTGTAGAGGGGCACCATTGCCCTGCCCCTGCTCCTAGGAGGCTGCAGCACTCTGTCCCCACCCACCCTCACGTACCCCCTAGGACCAGTCCAAGTACCCCCAGGGGTACACGTACCCCTGGTTGACAAACCCCTGTATTAGACAATGAAAACAGCCTACCTCCATTCAATTATTATTAGTCATATTACAATGCACCCTGATATAACTATATAAACTTATGTTATAAAGCAGGGGTGGGCAAAATATGGCCCACAGGTCTCATCCATCCCGCTAAGCCATTCTATCTGGCTTGTGGGGCCCCTAAAAAAATTTAGAAAATTAATATGTATTTATCTGTCCTTGGTTCCTGTCAAAGTTGACAGGAGCCAAGAGCAGTAGGACCCAGGGGAAGCCCTGGCGGGCTCCTGTAACAGCAGGGCCTGCCCAGCCCCAGGAGCCCCAGAAGGGGCTTCCAGCTTGGGACCATGTGTCTCCTTGGCTGCACCGGCATGGGAAACTGGTGCCGAGCATGGGGGAAAAGCAGCCCCTCCACCACACCACGGCCCACGCACCCATGGTGCGAGCTTTGGGCGGGCAGCAGCAGAAAACACTGCCCAGTGTGGCAAGCGGGGGGGCCACAGCTGCTCCTGCTGTGGCGCAGCCCCGACGGGTGAGCCTAGAGTTGGCACGGGGCCCAGGCTGGCAGCAGGGGCGGGTTCCAAGCTAATGCCAAGCGCAGGGAAAAGCAGCCCCTCCCCCACCCCACGGCCGGCACCCCATGCTGCAACTGCTTGCAGCCTGGTGGGGCTGCCTGTGCCTACTCAAAACAGCCCAGGGCAGGCTGTGAGCAGCTACAGCAGGGAGTGTGGGCCACGGGGTGGTGGATGAGTTACTTTTCCCCCACCCTAAGCACCAGCTCGTTCCCTGCCGGCGAGCATAGGGTCAGGCCTGTACCGTGGGGCTGAAGGCGGCACTGGGAGTGAGCGGGTGCAGGAATCAGCAGGGGTGTGGGGCCCATACCAATGTCCCGGGGACCAGCGCCGGTGGGGCCCAGAGCAGGGTGGCAGGAGTACAGGGTCCGGGCCAGTAGGGGCTCTATGGAGCAGGGCCAGCTCCCACCTCTCCCTGCTGGTGCAGCCCAGCTTGGCTGCACAGACCCCTGCCAGCTTGTGCCCCACTCTGGGCCCCATCGGCACTGGCCCTGGGACATTGGTCCAAAGATATTGGGACATTGGTCTCAAGATGGTGACCAGGGAGTGGGGCACCTGTCAAGAGGTGGGGCTACCCATGCAACCCTCTATAGCTTGCCAAAACTGGTAAATGGCCCTCCGTCCAAAATAATTGCCCACCTCTGTTATAAAGGAATTTGCAATAAAAAGTTGTAATCATCTCATACATGTCCCCATTTAATGCAGGATTGCTTTCTATAGTATAGTTAGAAGTAGTCTATAAAGCATTAGAAACTAAAGTGAAAGATTTCTATTATCAACACTAGAAGACTTCTATTCTATAACTCAATGTAACTCACTTTAAAAGGGGACTTTTTTCCTGCTATAAAAAGCTGTTTTTTAAATCTCAAAATCCCAATTTCACCCTTTTATGCCATTGCCTGCAATTCATCTGATTTTTTCTGTTATATCCAAGACTTACAATTCCCACTTTGTCCTTCCACTTTTACCTAGGTTTATGATCTAGACTGTAATATACCATAATCAAAGCCAAGAAAATGATGACAAACTGTAGTTTTGTTTGTTTGTGGATAAGAGAGGCCCCAAAGCTAATGAAGGATCCTGTAACTGCAAATGGTGCACAAGGATATTAAATAAATTAATAAATTGGAGTCTGGAAAGTATCAGAATAAGGTACTTTTACTTTAAAGAACACAATCGTTTATTAGTTTCTACCCTACTTCTGATTTAATTTTCATCTTGTCCGAAAAGCAAATCAGAGAGGGATTTATAATCATGGAATTCAAATATTCGTTGACAAGTGAATAGACTAGGCATGCTTGAAATTATTCAGTATTTTTTGATAACCTAAGATATAAATATGAAACCATGACTTCTATTTTTATGTTTTGTTTTTTAAAGACTGTGATAAAGTGGCGGTGGGGGGGAAGGGTTGTTTCCTCCTCCCCCCTGCCATGAACATGGAACTAGTGAATACACTGGGCACTGTTTCCACCCTTGGAGAGGATGGGCAGGGAGCACTGAACTCTGCAACACAACAACACTAATATACATCTAAGATATTGGTATGCGTCCATCATACTGGTATCATTTAAGTAATTTCTATCAGCTTCTGTACTTAACCCAGTGCTTTCCATGTTAATTTTAAGGCAGGAAACAAAACAACACTGAGATGTCTATAAACTGTAAGTATATATAGATGACAATATTACATATTTGGGTACACACACACACTCTGAATATTTAATAAGTAAGTTTTCATTTGACATCAAATGGAAAAATAATTATCATTAATACACAGCTGAAATATGCCATGTAAGATTTTAAAATAATGCGAAGAACCCTGAATTCTGAATCATAGGCAAATGGCACTTTTCAAAGAGTCAATAGTTTAGCCTCCAAACATAACAACCAACTTACTTTTAGGATCTTAACTTATTATTACTCTTAATCATGCATACTACTACCTAACTGTTTTTAAGTTATCAAAATCAATATTTGAAGATCTCACTGTATTCATGCCTCCTATAAACTAGAGTTTCATGTTGTTTAGATTAATGCATGTCAAATGCAACCTGTGATTTGGATTACAGTTGAACTGGTGACCAAGAGAACAACCCTTTTTCTTTTCTTCCCTCCTCCCCCCACCATTCATCAAAATGTGAAAAACTTACTATGTGCAAAGTGGACATTTGATTCTCAAGAAACTAATTCACAAAAATACAAGAAACAGATGTTCAATTGCTTGCTGGCAATAATAAGAGAAGAAAAAAAGATAAAAACCCTGTTGCACGAAGAAAAATGGGGTAGTGCTGTTTCTATTTTATTACTCTGAAAATACTTGAGACACGATTATCTATTATTCATCTCTTTGAATATAAATAGATTTAATCAGTTGTCATATAACCAAGGGTCAAAAAGATGTAAACCATTGCAACATATTTTTAATAAATGACTCATCAATACAAAATAATCTTGATTTACAGATAGAGCATTATCCTATTATTAACTGTTTTACACTAAAATACTATTTTTTCTTCAGATGAAAGGAGATCCAGTTAAGCTATCCTTGTCTCTGGGGTAGAATAAAATGCATGGCTATGACTGCCTTTAGGGACATAAGGTATTTTTTTTAATACAACTAGTTTTTAATACAACTAGTTATAGTTATTTCAATTACTTCTAGTCAGAAGTAATTCAAAATAATTTCAAGGCTAGGATTGCCAACATACATACCTCTGAATGCACTGATATCTCCATAATGTACTTGGAGCACGAAATATTTGCTACCTGTTTTTCCTCCAACTTTGAATCCAACACCTTAACAGAAAGAAGATGCATTAAAGCCTTACAAGTGGTAAATAAAAAGATAAAGCAGTTCATTATCGTTAATACAATCAACACAGTGTAAGAATATTCCTCAACATTTTCAGTGGAGACAAAGTTTAATTTTGAGATATCTGTTAAGAAAGTTCTGGTCATGGAAGCTACAAAATAAACACATAAATAATATATAGTTTTCGAAATGTACCCAAACATAAAAATACTGAAAAGTATCATGTGCCAAGTCACAGCTATCACTGAACAGTGACAACTACTTTCAGCAAATAATTTTCATTCCAAAAAGGACATTTGGTAGAAGTATAAAAAGAGAGCTGCACATTTCCTCCAAAGAATAAATGCTTATTTTCATTTCCAATTTGAACAGTTAAAGATGCAAATCAGTCTGAAACAGCTTACTTCTAACGTGGAGGAATTAAAAAAAAAAAAGAACACAGATTACACACCATGACTAGTATGGTAAAGGCTCTTTCTACACCTGGCTAACAATGAAAATACTTGGAGAGCAGCAGAAAAGAAACTTACTCTTGCCTATTCAGCCAGTGTATCCTTCTAGATCAAGGGTGTCAAACATGTAGCTCACAGAACCTGGTCATCAGGCCCACGAGGCTCCTGGAAGGGCTGGGGATTCAAGGGCAGGGCCCTCCATTGAAATCTAAGATACCAGACCCCATTAGAGACGTGTGTCAGCAGGTGGGGTGGGGGAGTGACTATTGCACAGATCCTGCAGTTCCAGCCACTGCTCACCCCACTGCTGCCACTGCATCCAAATACAGCTCCTGAGGAGCCCCAAGGTCTGAATCTCACCAAGGTAGGCTGGGGTGTTTGACATCCTTGCTCTAGATTAACAATTGCCAATGGCAAAGCCTCTTTGTAAAATGGACTGATGCATCTCTATGCATACTTGGGCCTTCAAATAAGAGGAATTAAAAATACCGCAAGGAAGGAAAGGAGACTGGTAACTCAATAACACATCTGCAGTTAGAAGCAGTTTAGAGACAGTGACAAATGACCAGGGGAGGTTTGGCATTAAAAGTAAATATCTTGGGTTTGCTGGACTGTACAGCTTTGGTGAATCATTCACCTTTTTTTTTTTTTTTTTTTTAAAGAGCAAGTGCGCTGAAAGCTCAAGCAACATCTATACTGATTAACATGAAAAATGTTTTTCAGGAAAGCTAGTCTTGTTTTTTTGTACTGATTTTGGCTACAGGAAACGCTGTTCAAGAAGGCAAAAGGGTGTCAAGGAGACTGCTATAAAAGATTCTCTTGGTCAGGGGTGTCAAACGTATGGCCCCATGGGCTGGATCCAGCCCACAGGGCCTCTATTCAGCCTGGCAGGCTACCAGGGGCTGCCAGAATTTGGGTGGTGTGGCCTGCAACTGACTGTGGGTCCTGTGGCCCCACTGGCCATGGCTATTAGCAGTGAGTTTGGGTCACCACTGCAGCTGCCTGCAAACCCTCCTTACACCCCAGACACTGAACTCTGTTGGATCCCCATCCTCAGATCTACTGCCGTCCCCAGACCCATACTGGACATCTGACCCAGGACACCTTGCAAACAAACCCCTTGCTGTGTCCAGGCCCAGTGTCACTGGCACAGTGGCTACTCCTATGCCCTGGCCTGGATCCAGTCTGTAAGTAGCCCTATGGGTTGGATCTGATCCAGGTACCGGGTGGGGGTTGATGCCCCTACTCAAACAGAACTTTCCCTTTATAGAGAATACAGGCATTTCCAGTACATTCCACCAATGGCAAGGAACCAAAAGTACCTGTTCTTCTGTAATTCAATACAGAACAGAGTGAGCCACTGAAAAACTTGATTTTCCCACATGTTTTAATAAAGATTTCTGCACACCCTCTAAACATATAAACTTCTCTCTCATTTCTTTACTTCCTCCATTACCTAAACAAATGGTGGGTTATTCTGTAATGGAGTTACATTTACAAAGTTCCCAACTCCTTTCTCAATTTCTTTTGTTAACTACCAAGCTCTGCTTCCAGATTTTACCTTCCCAAGTTAAACTTCCCATTTGAAAAAGTATTTAGCAAAACCTCCAACTTGTGCTTCTCCTCCTAAATGAAAAGAGATTTTGCTAGCTTTTACAGTTTAGACAATGCTATAAATGCACCTGTTTTCTCAAGCATATTCTGGGAAATTAAGGTGAATAGTTGAGCAGGAATGACACAGTTGGTGGGAGCAAAAAGTGAGTTCATAAGAGCAGCTTTTGGGGAAGCTATGTTGTTTTTCTGTGGGCTTTTCCCCTCATTTATTGACTGAGATAATTAAATGTCTGTCAGGTGTTACAAGAGTGATTTAATTTTTGCTGATTGTGGTAGCCAAATGAAATCATTACACTGGGAAGCTGTACTACCCCCCTTATCTCCTCTATACAAAGAATTTCATAAAATGAAAGGCTTCATACCACTGGGAAGTTTGGTGGGTGGAGCATTTCTTGCCCAGGCATACAGGATGTTAGATTTATCTGTGCAGGTTCCTTCATCGCAGTCCCTAAAATACAGAGGAAAAAAAAGGATATGATTAATAATCATCACTGTCATTGGTGTCATCTGCAACTATGTCAAGCTCCAGGTGAATTACTTACATTAAGATCCAAATTACACCAATACACTCCTAATAAGTTTAATATAATAAAATCCGTAGTCTGTCTGTCTGTAACGCTTTATGAGCACTGTGACTGGTTGTCTCACCAGCCAATCACAATGCTGACTGAAACAACCAACTAGAGTGCTCTGAGACAGATACATATGGTGGAGCACCATCATGACAGCAGGCACTGAGGGGCCACAAGGAGCAGGGGGAGGCCAGAGATGCTGGCTTTGCCCCACCCTCCCCTGGCCTTGCTCCTTGGATGTGGTGGCAACACAGGGTGCTGGTGGTGCAGTGCTGGCCTTGCCCCTCCCCCCGCTCTGGCCTTGCCGCGTCATCCAAGAGGTGGCCTTCCTCCCACACCTGGCCCTGCACCTTCAAGATGGCAGTGGCACTGGCCAGCTTCGTCCCCAGTGTCATGGCAGAGCTCCATCCCTGGCAGAGGGGGACTCAGGGGATGGACTGGCATGGCAGAGTGCTGCCATGATGGAAAGGACAGAGCAGGGGGGCGAGGCCAGTGCTGTGCCTCCACCACCTCCAAGGAGCAGGGCCAGGGGGGCAGGGGCCAGGCCACCCCTTGGATGCGGCAGCAGCATGGGGTGCTGGCAAGGTGCACAGAGTGCTGGCTCCTGGCAGGTGACAGCAGCGCGGGATGGTGGGTAGCAGTGCTCCATCCCTGCCCTCTCCCCAGCAGAGGGTGGGGGCGGTGGGGAAGAGGGGAGTAAGGGAGGGAGAGAGGGGAGTGGGACAGGGAATGGGGGGGTTCTGGTGGCATCACCCCCCTGCTGTCGCTGTGCACCCCACCCCTGCTGCTGCTGCCCAGGCAACAGCTGGCCGAGAGGGGGAGGTGGCGGGGAGGGAGGGAAAAGAAAGAAAGTGGGGGCAGGGAGGTGGGGATGGTGTATGTGGCCAGACGTGGGCCGGCAGCAGAGCGGGGCACTGGGTGTCAGCAGCTGCCACCGCATGCAAACTCCCCTCCCCCCTGTTCCTGGGAGCTCGCAGCAGCACGGGGTGGAGTGGCGGGGGGCGGGGGCACGGAGCCAGACCAGAGGTGAAAGGGGCCAGAGGTGGAATGGCGGCACCATGGGGCACTGGGTGCCGGTGCTCCGTCCCGCCCCGTTCCTGCCTGACCATCATTCATGACCGGCAATTTGCTAGTTTTTAAAATAATCTTCCAAATGTGAAAAACTTTCCTGTATATCAGGATGCCCTCCATCACCACCTCTCCTTTCCTCCCTCTCAAAAAAGGATAAGGAAAACAAATGAGTTTTGCAGAATGTTTTGAAGATCACCAATATCAATGTGGTAACCCAAGTTGAAAACTGAGTTTTAGAGCCCAAGATCCCTTGGTAAGAATGAACCTGCGCCTCATTACACACCAAGGTGCCGTTAGCTAAATTGATTTAGATGTATGCAGTTGCCAAAGTTGCATGTAGGGATAGAGACCATAACCCAAGTAGAAGGAATACAATCCAACAGAGTTTGAGATCAAAACTAGTACCTTAAACTCATAATAAAATTTGCTGGGAACAACTGAAAGTAGGAAAGGAGATGATCAACAACGATCGCATTGAGAAGAAGAGTACAATCAAACTACAGTATAACCATTTTGCCTTTGCCCTTCCTCTTCCCTTTCCTTTCTCTTGTCTATGTATGGCTCTTGATTATTTCAGAGTAAACTCTATACTGTACACTCTTAAGACAGAGGCTGTACTGTTACTTTTTTTGTTTTTTTACAAGATTTCTAGCACATCTTTTAAATGTGAAAAAATTTACTCAGAAGGTAAAATGTGCTTGCCAAGTGCCAGATCACAAGCTATGGTAACTAGAGATTCTAAAGGGTTTGAATATGTAATGCTCAAAGAAAATATGAATTGATCCAACCTCAGTGTAACAAACCTTATTTTGTAAGATACCACCATATTTTAGGCCTGACTATATGGCACCTTCCAATGTGAGTGGCTTCCGTGAAATTTCAAAAAAAATACAGTCAGAACCAGGGGCAGATCCAGGAGTGGGGTGCAGTGGTACAACTACACCCCCTTTGATTCCTGGTCCACCCAAATTTTGGAACCAACTGCCAGGCAGTGGCAGTAGCATTCCTATTCTGGCATCAGTGAGGGAGTCTATCTACCTCATGGCTCATTATGATCAACCCAAATCCTTCTGAACAATTAATTCCACAGGTGTTAATGACTCCCTCACTCCTTTTTAGTGGCTTTGATGTTCCTCTAATCAAGCTATCCTTTTTTCTGCAATTCTACTCTCTGTTAGATGTTCCTGGTAATACAGCTTCTTTTCCACAGCCCTGCAGATTCGGCCTGTTTTTAACAATGGCTAAAAGCATTAACCCAGGTGTGGAAATAACTTTCAGTGAAGTATCAGATGCACTGTCAAGATGCTCAGTAAGGCTAGATTTTGTTTTATGAATCCGAAAGAGATGCATTTTTAAAACTAATAACTACAGGATTAATTAAACAAAGACAAACGACCCCAGCAAGGTGTTCGTCTAAACTCCTCTTAAAGACCCCCAGGGTAGGAGCCAGCACCACCTTGCTTGGAAGTTGGATCCAGATCCTAGCCGCCCTGACTGTGAAGTAGCACCACCTGATGTCTAGCCTGAATCTACCCTCTGCCAGCTTGTGACCGTTATTTCTAGTCACTCCTGGTAGTGCTCGGGGGAACAGGGACTCCCCCAATGCCTGCTGGTCCCCTCTGACTAGTTTGTAACAGGCCACTAGATCCTCCCTCAGCCTTCTCTTGTGGAGGCTGAACAGGTTCAGATCCCTTAGCCTCTCCTCATAGGGCCTGCCCTGCTTCCCCCTGATAATGCGGGTGGCCCTCCTCTGGACTCGCTCCAAGTTGTCCACACCCCTCCTAAAGTGCGGCGCCCAGAACTGGATGCAGTACTCCAACTGCAGCCTGACCAGTGCTGAATAGAGGGGGAGGATCACCTCCTTGGACCTGCTTGAGATGCATCTGTGGATGCCTGACAAGGTACGGTTGGTACCTTCCTGACCGCGTCCCCACACTGTCAGC